CGGCCCCCGCCGCCGCCGCCGCCGCCGCCTCCGCCAGCACAGCCCGCAGGTGTACGGTCAGCAGCCGCAGCGCTGAGCGCTTCAAGCGGGGCAGCAAGTCCGCGTCCCAGGGAATGCGGTGCTCCTTGAAGCTGATGATGCATGTGCGCGCCAACATGGGTGTGTGTGGGGGGGTGGGGGCGGGCGGCCGGTTGCAGCCCGGAACATCACGTGCAAAGAAAGCAAAGGAAGCGTGCAGCATTGAATATAAAAGTTGTGTTGGTATTGATGTGAAGTGCTATTGGTGTGGTAGGGTTTTCATCGCTTTCCAAATGCTACCTGAGCTACACTGCACATCCTCACCGCAACCTCCCCCCCCACCACACACCACACACACGCGCGCGCATACACGCACGTACAACCCCAAACACCCCCACGCACCGCGCGTCCATCCGCTCCTGCTCCCGGCCCAACCAGTCTACTCGCCGGCTGAGCTCCGACCACACGCCAGCTACCCCGCGGAGGTGAGCCACCGCGGCAGCTCGTTGAGAGCCCGCTGCCGCCTGGGGCTGCTGCTGCTGCTGCTGCTGTCGGTCATGTTGGAACGCGGGCCAGGTCGCTACACGTAGTGCCAAGGAAGACAGCTGCGTGTGCAGACTGGCGGCCCACCTGAGGGCGCGTGAGAGAGAGGGAGAGTGTGTGTGTGCGTGTGGTGTGGCATGGGTGGATGGTGAGAGAGAGGGAGAGAGAGTGTGTGAGTGTGCGTGTGTTGGGCATGGGCGTGTGAGAGAGAGAGGGAGAGAGAGTGTGTGAGTGTGCGTGTGTTGGGCATGGGCGTGTGAGAGAGAGAGGGAGGCATGCGGGTTGTGCCATGACCCATCCCTTCCTCCCTCTAGTCGCAATCCCCCCAGGTCACTGTCCTCGGCTATCCCGGCCACCGCCCCCGCCCTTCTGCCCCCCCCCCCCACAGTTCTTGTCGCGTATGATTTAAACCCCCCTTTCCCCCCCCCCCCGGCACCTCAATGTGTCGCAGCGCCCCTCCGGCCAGTTCAGACCCCCGCCGCCCGCCGCGGGGGGTATCCGCGCGCGCCGTATCACCGCAGCCTTGTGGGGTTGTGAGGAGGGGAGGAGGAGTACGTGGGGGAGCACAGCGGCAGCAGCAGCGGGGGGAGGTAGGAGGAGGAGGACAGGGGGATGAAGGTGAGGTGAGGGGGCCGGCGGCGGCAAAGAAGGGTGTGGGGCGAGGCATCTCCAACACCGGTGCGCAGGTCACGCCGTCAACAACTCTTCATTCATTTGTCGTAGAGCGATAAGATAACGGTTATTCTGTTACCACCCACTTAAAAGTTCTCCGGTTGTAAACTAAATCGGACAGCCCTAGGCTACCGGCTCTTCTGGGGCCCCCCCTCATCCTTGGGGCTTGCATGGGGCCCCGGGTTACATTTTTTGGAGGGTAACGCAACAATTGGCGTTATAACACACATACACATACACAGACACGCACAGACACGCACATACACGCACATACACCAGGGTTCGACACTGACCTTTCTGAAACTTGCGGGCTCCCCCGTACCTCCCAAATTTTCCTTACGGAGGGGCCCCCGTACCAGGCTCCTGTACCGGCCGAAACCTTATGGGGGCCCCCGTAACCCCCGCAAAACCTTCACGGGGGCACTGTCCTTGGCTGAAACGCTGTGGAAAGTGACGCTTTGCATTTTTTTGCCCTGTAAATCGTTATTTTCGTTATTTTCTCGTGAACCATTACACTCGGGGACACGGCACACTCAGCGAAAGCCAAGCGCCTGCGTCCGGACCGAACATGAGATCGGCGAGGAGTAGCTACGACCAGCTCCGTTCCCACAATAGATGAGCGAGCTTACCAGAGCCCCATAGGTCCGACAATATTAAGGTGGCGCGCTTCTTGGAGGGCGGTGGATTAGGAGGCCCTTGGTCACCTCCTGACGACTCATTGTCTGCCATCGCTGGATGTTACAGACCAGAAGCTATAAAAGTATTATGAAAAGTGTAGTTAAATATTGCAATATGAATTATGTCTGCCAAGTGTGTGGCCTTACCCTTTATATGGTCCGTCCTCTCCCCTACAGGGCCCCGTACGGCCTCTTATAAATCCTTAAAATCCTTACGGGAGCCACCGTAACCGGCCTTCGGCCGGTCCGGGGGCGGCCCCGTACGGGGCGCTTCGCGCCCCAAAATCCTTACGGGAGCCACCGAAAAGTCCTACGGGCCCTGACGGGGATACCGAAAAAAGGCCAAAAACTTACGGGCCCCGTATGGGGTGTCGAACCCTGACATACACACATACACACAGACACACATACACACGCACGCACATACACACACAGACACACACGCGCGCACACAGATTTCACAATGCGCAGATACATACACATCAGCAGCTGTTCATTCCTCCATCTACCCGCACACACCTTCATGCGCCCCCGTACCCACCTCGTCACACAGCTGCCCCAGCTCGGCGTCCATCAGATCCACCAGCTCCACCACAGCGGACATCGCGGGGGGGTCGAAGGACTCAATACGGGCGGCCCAGGCGGACAGCAGCGGCAGGAACCTGCGCAAAGGAACGCCGTACCACTTGTGTGTGTGTGTGTGTACGTTACCGATATGATCCTATTTCGAGGTATTTGGTTTCGCTGCATTTGGCTAGCTAAGCGAGACATGGCCGTCAGCTGGCCAGGCAGCCGTCTGGCCTAGGATCTGGCAAGACATCCGTGGCAGCGACGTACAGGCGTTGGGAGGGAAGAGCGGAAACACACACACACACACACACGATG